TTCCCCCATTGGGGGGAGATGGGCGGTTGAAAAATTTAATAAATAAATAAATAAATAAAATCTACTTAATGTAGAATAATAGTCTGAAACATACAAATCCTAAAAAGCAACATACCAAGTTAATGTAGAATAATAGTCTGAAGTGACATACAAATCCTACAAAGCAACATACAAAGAATAATAGTCTGAAGCGACATACAAACCCTAGTAATAAATAAATATAGTATTAAAATAAATATATAATCCTAATATACCAACAATAGGAACAAAATGCAAAGATTGGCCTAGAACAGTAGTTTCCATCTCGTTAGGAATTCCAGGAATTGTCTTTTCAACTCTTCTAGAAATTGGTAAAGATTATTGGTAAAGATTATTCTATATATACATATAAGAACTTATTCAGGGTTGCTGTGTGGATATACAAGGAGATAATGAACATGTGTCCAAGGTTTAGATTACATATTGCAATGAACATGCACATTTAAAGAATAAATAGCTATTAGGCACAGGAGCTTGAGGAGGTCTGGGGTTTTTTCCCTCCTTCCTGTGGTCCTTTATGATTTTCCCCCTAAATTTATATTTGCATCAGGACAGAAATATCTACTGGTAACTATGTAAGAGATTATAAATTATATCCAAAATATAGATGATGTATTAAGTATGAAATATTTGGCACCTACTTTCTATGGTTAGACACCAAGAATGTGGAGGATTTATTTGACCTTTATTTTTTTTTAAATTTAGTCAAATACTGTCCTTTCCTTTCAACAACAGTCCTCATGTTATAAATATGAAATTGAGACTTATAGAGCATTACTTGCTAAATACTATCTAGTTGAATATGTGACTTTCTGAGATTTGTGTCTAAATCATAGTCTAGTACTGTATATCATTTCTTAAGCACACACTGTTTGTTTCAACTAATAGTGGCTTTTCAAAAGGAAAGATTTAAATGTGCTTCTACTCCCTGTTCAGGTGTTAAGCCCCATATGATTAAAATCACTCAGAAGGAAAGTACAGGTCTGTGTTGGTTTACCTGACTTTCTCTCGTGTATTTGGAGGCACACAATTGGGAGTTTGCTGTTCCATGTATGTTTCCCGTGTGATTTAGAACTATCATCATACAAGGTTCTGCTCAAGGTAGACGCCTCTAAGCAGGCTGTCTGCTGCAGATGCTTGCCTTCAGTGCACAAAGAACAGTGGAGCTGAGCAGTAGGCAGTGGGAAAGGGAGAGTCAAAGGAGCTTGTTCTTGATTCTAACAATGCTGATGTTAGTTACTGGAGGAGAGTGGAATTTGAACAGGGCTTAAATCAGTTCCTGTGAACCTGTAACAGAACTGAAACTTCAGACAATATGGTCTAGGTCTTCTTAACACAGAAATGAAATAATTGTCTTCTGGTAGCTAGATAAGGCTCAGCTAGGAACTGGTAAAAAAATGCTTATTCCTTTAGCTGGAGATAAAGTACTGTCATTCTAGAAAGCTCAGCAAAGAGTTGCAGTAGCAAAATCAATAGAAGCATTTTCACATCATGAAAAATGATAATGGTGGGGATTTGATACTGTTTCCCTCCATAATATGCACCAAGTAAACTACAGTGGTCCAAAGCTGCTGATACATCCTAAGATAGCATGCACACAAGGAGAGGTAAACCATCCCAAAACAATAATATTCAACAGTTTTCCCCCAAAACCAAATCTTCAGATAAGAATTTGGTCAGACTTTATTGGTGATTCAGATTTATCTGTGAGGTCAATTAATAGTACTGAATTGCGAAAGGCATTTTGTCTTGACTGCTGGGAAGCTAGAACACAGATGTAGACATAAAGGTGGCTGGTTTGAGATATCTCGTAGTTCCCAAGCTTAGGCTTCCAACTTGAAATATCTTTAGAATTAGAGTGGTTTCAAATTCAAATACCTTAAATTACAGAAAAATGCTTCTACTTGCATCCAGTTTAGTCTCAGGTACATCCTTCAAAACTGATTATGATAAGGAAAATATTACACATCATTGTTCAACTGTTCACGTGGGATATTATTTTTGCTAACATTTCTTGGTATTATGTTCTATGGAATCTAAATGGTTCATCTAGTTCAAGTTTGCACACACAGGACACTCACTGACAATGAATGGAGAAAGACTCAATCCATGGAGCCCTTTTTGGTAATACATGTATATCATGAGCATGTATTTATTATAAGAACTGTAATGTGTTTATTATGTTTATAACCTGTTTTTTCTTCTCAAAGGGGAATACTTTTTCCTTCCCTCCTTCTACAATTTTATGGCCATCACCATTCTGTGGAGCAAGTTAAGCTAATGGTGGCTGGCTTAGGTGCTGTAGTATAATGTAGTTTTCTTGATTTAGTTTACTGTGATTTATGAACTTGCATCATTGTAACTTAGACTAGAACAAAAATATTCTTTCTTCATCACTGCACCAGAGGTAGCGAGAAGTATATGAGTCTACAGTTTACTGGGGCTATCTTCCTGGGTTGAGGTTACATCTAAGTGCAGCTTGGGAGAACCTATATAGATGGCCTGGAGTCGTATTACTTCCTTGGCTTCTAGAAATAACTACCTATTCCCTCTCAGTAAGTAAAACTTGTCTAAGAAGTTATTGTGTCCTTTGTCATCACATTTTTTGTCATTGAAGAAATATCACTG